AAACAAGGATATAAACAAAATAATTATATTATTAATTCAGCTAATACAACCGTAGCGCACATGTACGGCCGTAAACGATCACAATAAGTTGCATCCTTGGCATCTGTATATAGTAACTCATCATCACTGTACCCCCATCATAGGGAATTAAACAACCTGCCTAGTAAAACCACAAATCAAACCATCATCCTTGACACCACCCAATAAAAAAAGAACTAGTACCGAATAAAAGAAAAAGATGACACAATCGAAATCGTTGAAACAGAGCAAATTTCATGATAAGCATTACGTATATATTTTCGTTTGCTAATATTTTTTTGACGGAATCATCCCACAGCTAACCCAACCACCCAAGAAGTGTCCACCAATTATCCGAACATCGTTCGCACAGAGGGATGAAAGAGCGATTCGCGAGCGATTCTTCACCCGTTTTCTGCGCAGGACGTCGGTAACATTCAGGTGTGAGTTGGTTCCTGGTTCGCTTGATGTCACTGTGCGGGTGTTACTTCTACTCCATGCACAGTGGGATTCGCCTGTCCGCTGAATGGATCAACTGATTCGGTCGTGTCGTCGTCTGCAATGACACTATTAATCCCAAAAATCGCAAACAAAAAAGTACAGAATCACTAATCTTACCAGGCATTGTGGGTATAAATCCAAACTGTGTAGGAAGCGGCATCGCTGGAACAGGTGCAGGTGGGGGCGCAGCAGCACCATTTTGCGTTGAAGCTTGGTTCAATGGGTTGAAATACCGAGATCCTAAGGAAACGAACGTATAAAATCACAATCGAGCTAATAGCTCTAATATGAATTTTTACCTCCACTTGTACGAGCAGCACGGAGTCCACCAGAACCAGTGTTTGTCGCAGAAAGGCCATCTAATTTGGGAGGCGGAGCTGCTGTTGACTCCTCCTCAACGCCAGCACCCACATATCTACCCTTTACAGGATCCCAGACAATCTGTATTACATATACGTTGCATCTTGAAACAACTACTTGTGATCTTACTGTTGGTTTGCTGTCGTCCGGCAATATCATTTCGTTTCCACTGGGTAT